ATGCTGATCCTGTTTGGTTTGGCCTAGGGTAAAAAGAATAGATTACAGAAGTTGCTTTGAAGAACCTCAACAAGCAGGGCAGGAGAAGGGGGGCACAGAGAGAAAGATACATTTTAAACAGTTGCTTCCAACTTTTTTTTCCCAAGTCATCACTCTTTCAAAGCCCATACTTGACCTCCTGGATATTAAACAATTCATCGTCCTGGTATGGACAGAAATTCTTATTTCCTCAATTCATTTGAGACACAGAATTAAAAAAAACTACTTTACTACAGAAATTAAAAAAAAAAAGGAAAAAATGTAACTTAAGTGAAATAAAACCATTACGTACAGAGGCTGAAGTTTACCAGTTTTATGAAGGTGAAGAAATCTGTTCGTAGACCAGGCTGAGAAATTTTAATCACACCCTTGACTTATAGCTGTCTTGATTATTAGAAAACACCAACTCTTTCCTTGAATAAACCTAAGTTTCTTCAATACTAGCTATATTTTCTTTCTTTCTTTTTTTTGGGTAGGCAGTGGGGTTAAGTGACTTGCCCAGGGTCACACAGCTAGTAAGTGTGATGTGTCTGAGGCTGGATTTGAACTCAGGTCCTCCTGAATCTAGGGCTGGTGCTCTATCCACTGCGCCACCCAGCGGCCCCCAATACTAGCTATATTTTCAACCTGACCTAAGACCATTGTACTCTTTAAGAACAGAGAATGGTCTATTTACTCCTTAGGAAGTTATCATTTCCTGGAATTCCATATGAAATTATTGAAATGTTGAGAAACTGCAAGTATTCGGTAATAATAGTTTCCCACCACAGTAAGTGGAGAACAGTGGCCACAGTGCCAGCCTTGGAATTAGGAAGAATTCAAATTCTGCCTCAGACCCTTAATAACTGCAGTCCTGGACAAGTCACTTTTCTTGGCCTCAATTTCTTCATCTTTAAATGAGAGTGAAAACAGCATCTGAATCACAGGGTTGCTGTTGTGAGGTTCAAATGAAATAAATAAAAGCTTTGCAAACCGTAAAGTGCAATATAAATGCTAGATCGTACTATTATCCGTTACTGTAATCATTATAAAAATTTTTATTTCTAATATTGGGAAAAATTTTTAAATATTCAATTTTGGGTGGTATTTCTGATCCCACACTGTTTAAGTATTAGACATCATGTCAACTAAAATATCTTTCTCATAATTGCAGGTGTTGGGCATCCAAGTGAAATGCTTCCATGAAATTATTACAATTGGCTATAGAGTATATCGTTCTTATGAGCTACCATGGTTTAGAACACTAAGCTGGTAAGTCTGAAGTTTTTTTTATTTGAAAAAACGGAATATTGTGTAAATCCAGAATCTAGGAACTGACACTATCATTTAATATACATCTATCTGGGTTGTGGCAAAGGATTGTCTGCACTTTGGGAGATGTGAAAAGATTACTAGGCCAAACCCCAATTCTTTAGTATTTATTAAATACTAATAGTGTTTGATGTTTCCTGAATTTTCCTTTGATTTTTTCAGTAAGCCTGAGATCTTACTCCAATACCTCTTCATAATGAAGAGTCAGGCTCTGATTCCTCAAGGCTGTGCCAACGGCACAAATTCTGGCAGGTCCTATGAAGTTGGAAATGATTCCGTTGTGGGCCTAGATGTGTGCTTTGATGACCAAGGAACAACTTAGCTGAGTTTAGAGAGACGTATGACCCGGTGATTGACCATCACATGGCAAACTTTGTCACTCACCACAAATGACAAAGATTATCTATTTAAGTAATGAAGTGGATTGTGATTTACCTTGGTTGAGGGAATTATCCACTCTGCCGTAAATCTTTGAAATGTTGATGAAGTGTGGGTAAGAAGCAATTCCTGTAATTCAGAATAATGTACTGATACCCAAAATGTGGTATATAATATTCACCAAGTTAAGTATGCTCATAAGATGTTAACATTTTAAACTTGACTCATAAGAATTGTTTCTTAATTATTGGTGTTCTATTATCATTGTTCACATGGCTTCAAAATAATAGATACTCTTGACCCTCACCTTTTCCTAGTTGAAAAAAAATTTATGTAAGAAAGAATAGTTTGATCACTCATGTAATAATAGAGGAGCGAATAGCCAATTTGAAGTGATTAATTGTAACCTTGGAATGTGGAAATAAAAAAGTAGTTTTGGGGACTTTGGCAAGTTTGATAACCTAGCACCTTTAAATATCTGATCTTCTATTAAAACAGTCTGGCATAGTGAAAGGACAAGCTTAAAAAAAAAAAGATAAACTTGAAGTCTGTCTTCTAAGTAACTTAACAAAATCCTAGCTTATCTTAAGCAAATATCACTGGTAAACAAAAAGAAAAGTTAGGTAGGTATAATGTCCCTTTTGCTTTAGTAATTGTAGCCTATTACAGCTAGGAAAGGTATGTTTGATACAGTTCCTCCTACCTCTCTTTCCTTGGTGTTTTTTTCTTTTTTCTTGCCTCCTCCTTAAGTTAATGAAGGCTGTGTCTACACAATGTAGCCCCTGGCAGGTTCTGTCATGCTGGAAAAACTTCCAGTATGGTTCCAACAATAGACTGTACTCTGAGGACTAACCTAGCTAAGCACAGAAAGGTGGCCTGCTGATCATGTGGGCCATGGCAGCCCACTGAAAGACAAAAACAATACCAAATGGTTTTCAATCCATTGTGGCCCCCTTCTACTTGGAGAGTGACAGTGGTGGGAAAGGGGGCAAGGGTACCACAAATGAGAGTTTTTAGGTAGAGTACTGCCGGGCTCTACGTGTGAGATCCTTGTCTAGTGATCAATGAAAAGACTAGAGGATCTGGATCTTATGAGACTTGATAGTCTCCCCATAAACAAAACCATAACATAAAATGATGCTCCAGTTAAAGAGAAAGACGGCTCAAAGATTTTTATGGAAGAGACAGGTGAGCTGACAGAGTTGTTTTTACCATTTGCCTCAAGGCAACAAGGAACACCATTTCATGGGATATTTGGTTAATCTTACATTTCAGTGCTTATGATAAGTATTTGCAGCAACAACAGAAAGAATACCATGAAAGTAATTGCAGCTTACTCACAAATGAATTCCAGAGAGTGGAAAGGTGAAGGATTCAGTGCAGCCCTCTGAATTAAGACAATATATGCATTGATACTTGTTGACTTCAGTGCAAAGGTGAAATAGATGAGAACAGAAGAAGTGTTGGCAATTGCAGAAGCAGGAATCAGGAGCGAGAGATATCAAATACTTGTAGGATAGCCAGAATTCATAAGCTTCTATATCATGAACACTTTCTTTGAGAAAAATTCAGGTTTTGGACGTGGAAGCAACAGGTAACATAATAAAAATTGATCCTGTTTTAACAGAATACAACTTACCAACATGGGAATCATTCCAGAATAAATTGTATAGAGTTAGAGAACCAGCTTCTTAGAACAAAGATTAAAATTAATATAAGTAAGAAAATAAGATGGGACATAAAGCAATTGCAATCTGACCTATTTAATCGAGTTAATACATTATAAGAATAGGATAAGAATGGACATTGATATCAATTATAGTGATTTCATACAGAAGTTTAATTGTAAATCAAGTACCATAGTAATAAACAAAAGTGCTTAACAACTACATCCACTCAAATACTTGAATGACTTGCTAAGTAGAGAAATAGCAGCCAAGGGAAAGACAAGTTTAGATAATAAATTCATTTGTAAAATCTTATAGAAAAGAATGGTAGAAAATTACTAGTATCACTTCAAAGGAGACCAATGAACATAACACATTTTCACTCTCAAGGACAGTTGAAACCCCTACACTTGACTATAAAATCAAATTCCCAGACATGCTTATAGAAGATACAGAAACAGAATAGAAGGAACAAAGACAGAAAAGGCAACTATATTCTACCAAATGTACACAGAGAAGATGTGTGCTGAAGGCAACACAATTATCTGGTCATTAGAGATTAGTTCTTAAGAGAGAAGAAAGAGGATACCAAAGGGATAGAAAAATCGGACATCTCATTACTAACCAAAATCAGCCACTTAAAGAACACCAGTAGCCACTAATATATATGTCTACTTTCCCATCTGTATAAAATTTTAGTGAGAATAATAGAGTGTACTTGATTAGATATTAGAAAGAGGTAGGCTTCGTAAGTGATACTCTACAAGAAATCAAACCTTTATTATGGCAGAATTGGCTGAATATGAGATCCCACTATGCTGATTGGTTTTTACTATAAGAGAGCATTTGATTGGTAGAGCAAAATGCCACATTAAAGGTTCTTCTCCATTAAGACGTTTCTCAAGCATAGATCAAACGTTTACAAGATTCATTGGAAGATAAAATAATAGAGAATTGTTCAACTTTTTGATTATCAGTAACAGATAAGGGAAAGAATAAACAAATGTTTACTTTCATAAAGGAAATCCAGTTGAGAGTTCAAGATGAATAGGGATTCCATTTAGTTGGTGAGATACTTCAGGGGTTCCCATTTACAAATGACATTGTACTGAATGCATCTAACATTGAAGGCATTTTGAATGAAATACAGAAAACTCCTCACAAGTTTGATATAACTATTCCCCCTGGAAACTCAAATGGATGAAGGTTGCTTTTTGTCCAGACTATGATAAGCATTTGGATAGGCAAACTATAGAACATTAGTATATATGTGCTTACACATACACAAGTCCATAAATAAGGATATGTGTGTGTGTATGTGTGTGTGTATGGATATATTTTTTACATTTTTGTGTAGATAGATAGTAGCAGAGTATTTTGTAATTTCATCAAAGGCAACTAAGCTCTGCTCCTGTTCACACTTCTATGAAACAAAGACCCATCTTCTCATTACCTACATTTTCCCAGTGCTTTGTAGCTGTTTAGGGTAATGGTCTTCTAAGAATTAGATATGAGAGTATTGCCCCAGAGGGCAATGACGAGACATCGAAGGTGTGAATAGACTCTATCACATTACAGACAGCAATCAAAAAGGAGAATTGGCCCAATGGATGCCATCAAAGCATGTGTGAGAGAAAAAGTAAATAGGTTATTTGAGGCAAGAACAAGAGATAGCTGATAGACAGCTCCATTGATGTCGTTGTAATATTGAGCAAAGATGAGGAATAGATGGACGGCAACGGCACAGGATGGACAGACATTTACGTGAGTTAATGATGTATTGAAAGGGAGTTACCAACACAATAAGAGATCAATTTGAGAATTTGATTTTCTCAAGTAAAGTCCATTCCTGATTATGAATGTATTTTTTTTTTCAGTCTTAATTGCCTTTCTCTGTGCACTCCGTCTTTTCCCCACCCCACCCTACCCCATCTTGACCTGGTTCTTTCTCTCATTGCTCCAATTCTGTTTTCTCATTTCAACCTCTGTTAGTCTTCTCCTTCCAGCCCCTTCAACCTTTTAATTTCTCTGAGCTACTCTTCTACTTAAAAGAATATTTGTTATCACTCCTTATTAGTCCCATTATTCCAACTCATTCAATTCACAGAAACAACCTTTTTATAGTCCATATTTCATCTGAAGACAATAATCTTGTCACTGACATTGTCTTTGTAGTTTCTTTCTCACTTCCCTGTTTTCCTCTACTTAATTGAAAGACAGCAAAATTTAATGTTTCTAAAACTTGCCAACTTTTTAACGTTACACAATTTATAATCATACATTGTGTGGTCATATGTGACATTTTAGATTTCCTATTAATATTAAGTCTATGTACCAAAGATATTCCTCTTCCTTTAAACTATTTGTAAAATGTTAACTTGATAGGAAGTGAGGTTCAGTACTCCATCCATTTTAAATCACAGAGCTGCAACTCTTATTATTTCACTTGACATTCATAAAATTTAGAGAAGCATATTTGCTAGATAAATGAGCTGCAATTGGACTTTTATGCCAAATCAAAACTATTTCACAGAATTATATGAAGTAACATGGTCAAATCACTAGAGTCAGTGCTGCCATATATAACTTTAAAGGTGTCCAGATTGTTAGCATGACTGAGCAAGTCAAACCACTATTGGAAGTGACTTCCATTGGCCATGCTATGTTGGTGTTGTGGTCCTGATTTCCTCTCGTGCAGAGAGGAAGTGTAAGGAAAGGATGGCAAGCTATCATCACTGCAGTAGTGAGGTGGCTTCTACCCATCTCCTACCAGTCCTTAGAGAAAGCTGTGCTATCGGGGCAGCTAGGTGGCGAAGTGGATAGAGGACTGGCCCTGGATTCAGGAGGACCTGAGTTCAAATCTGGCCTCAGACACATAACACTTAACTAGATGTGTGACCCTGGGCAGGTCACTTAACCCCATTGCCTAACCAAAAAAAAAAAACAAAAAAAAAAGAAATCTGTGCTGTCTGGGTCAATGAAGGGCCCTTTTCTGTGCCTGCTGGTGTAAGAAAGGGTAGAAAACATGTAGTACCTAGCCCATCCATCTTAATGCCCTAGGCAGAGTAAATTTCAATCTCAGTGCCTGTAGTCATTGATACAAAGAGTAGAATGCTCCTCATAAACCCTAAGATAATTTCATTGTCCTGAATAAGTGAGGCATTGCTGTGTCAGTCATTAGGTATTTATTGAGTCTGCTGTGTGCCTGGTAAGATGCTATCTTTCAGTGAAACACAGCCCCTTCACATGGATCCCTGGTTAAGTTGATAGAGACTATGTGGACATGTTTGGGGGTGGGGGGTGGAGATTAAGTACCGAATTGTGTGGTCCTATATCTAAGCATGATAGGATTTCATAGAGAACAATATTAGCCTGAATAGTGAGGGCTTCAGGAGTAGCACAGGACTTGAGGTGGGCAGGATTTCCATAGGTGTAGGACATCCCTGGGTAGGAAGGCAGCAGTGGGCATGGTGTGGTGTGTGTGAGACCAGCCAAGCATTGTGGGTATTGAACAATAACACTGCATATCTTGGGGGGATAGTATGAAGGTCAGATTATTGGGGGCCTTGAAGGCCAGAGAATTCAGACTTGTTACATTGGGCGCTGGGAGTCAGCATAGGTTTTTGAGCAGCAAACAATGGTGTTTAAAGCAGCAATTTTTTAAAGTAAATTAAAATTGTTTTTAAGTTTAAAGCAGTAATAATGGTGTTTAAGGAAGATTAGTCTCACACAATTATGCACATAGAGTGAATGCAGGAAGGCTAAAAGACAATTGTAATAATCAAGAAAAAGGTGATGAACTCGACTGGGGAGAGGTAGTACACATGAAAAAAGATGGATGTGAGAGAGATGCCAGGGGAAGAAGTAGCAGGATTTATTGATGGAGTAAATGTCGGGATAAAGAAAGGGAGAAGAGAATTCAACAGTTCATAGTCTAGGAAACTGGTGCCATTGAATGGGTTAGTGTGGAGCAGGGGCTCTTTTGGTAGAGAAAGTGGGGTGGGTGACATCAGAAGTGAGCCCTGGCCTTACCTTTTCCCACTGCTTTGCTGGAGGGACTAGAGACTAAATTTAGTTGGGCCATGGGAGAGATAACAGTTTCAGATTTTAATACCCCTTCATCCCTCCTTGTACCCCTTAGGGAATTGTACTGAAACAGAGCTAGAAGAAATCTCTGAAATTGTATTGTAACCTGTTTTTAAAAATACATGTTAACTGCTACTGATTAGATGTTAATTGCAATAGCTAGCTTTTAAGAATAACTTAAAATTAAAACATAAAATAATATTTGGGCTAGCCCTGTTAAGCACGTTTTGATGGACTGATTTTTAAAAAGATTAAGTCCTTTCAACATTTTGTTTATTTTTCTTTTGTATTGTTCTATGTATAAGATAGCTCTATTGAGGGTGTCTGATCATCATGTTCATCAAAGAAAAATAGGCTGATAGTTCTTATATTACAGGTATTTTTTACTGTGTGTGAACTACTTTTTCTATGGAGAGACTGTAGCAGATTATTTTGCTACATTTGTTCAAAGAGAAGAGCAACTTCAGTTCCTTATACGCTACCATCGATTTATATCATTTGCACTGTATCTGGCAGGTAAGCAAAGAGAGAATTCCTCTTTCAGATTGTGGTTGGTGTATTTATATCAAATGTATCTTGTAGTAAATCTTTATTTTTATGTCATCTTTTCATTTCATTCCATTTCTCATTCCATGTATAGACAGCTTGGCTGTGGATGGTCTTGAAATAAGGGGAAGCCCCTAGTGGAAGTGCTACAATAGGAATTGCTTTTATGGTAAATAGGTCATGCTACTTGGAAGCACTATCTAGAAATTATGGAGGTAGAAAGTATGGTTTACATACTGTCAGTACGGAGTCATTAATACTTTCCCCAAGATCATTAGAAACATTTTAAAATAATGCTATAATGTGTATTTTAAAATTAGAAGTTAGAAGTAGTTAGAATTCTTTTTTTTTCAAAGTAATCAATTTTTTATTTGGGGAATGATTTTTAAAATTTGCATTGACACACATAGATTAAGTGAGTTTTTGTGGAGGGGATCCCTATTTGAGCGCTGGTCATTAGCAATTACTCAAGAAATGAATGATTATATTACTACCATATTAATCCAAACTTTAAACAAAAGAGTTAGGATGCTCTTTCTATTGACAACTAAATTTTTAGAAATATATACAAAGCAATGTGAAAATACTTTAAATCTCATTCATAAAGTTAAATCTCATGCTTATACATATGACTTCCTCCTTCAATGACTCCATTTCTATATGCAGAGATTCCTACTTTAACTAAAGTCAGTAGACAGATAATAGAATAGTTCGGAAGTGAAGTAAGATCAAATAAACTCTAATGATAATTATCAGCCCCTCATAGTTTCCAAATAATAATGATAAACACAGAGTACTTTAAGATTTACAGACACACTGCGTATTTCAGTTACTTCAACCTCACAATAATCAGATGAGATGTTACTATTTCCATTTTTATCCACAAGGAAACAAAGTGGAAGAGGTAGAGTGATTGTCCTACTGCCCCACCGCAGTGAATGTCAGGGCATCCTTTGATCCCAGCTCTCCTGGCTTCCAAGTCCAGGGTTCTTCCTTACCCTGTGATGCTTCCTTCTCACAGGTGTTGCCCACTCTTTTCATCCACATTCTCTATTCACTCTCTTCTTGCTCCCTTGCTTCCTTTCCAAAGTATCTCCCTAACATTTGGAGAGGACAGTTCTTTGGTCTAGGTTTAGGAAAAGCAGTCCTGCTGTATAAAAGGATGAAACCTATTTTGGGGTAAGAAGTCTGTGTGAAATTATAATCAGTGCAGCAGAATAAATACAGGGCTGAATGGCCATCACTAAGAGTATTGAATTTGTTCTGCCAGATGACTTGAAATTTTGTTTCAAGAACGTGTCAGACAGAGCCTTTGGGAGTGGTCTTCTTTCACTCTTTCCCAGGGTGTCTCTATATTTGTTTGGGGTTTTTTCTGATCAAGTTTCTGTGGTGGCGCATATCACTACATCTTAAACCCTAGTCAATCCAATTGGCCATATTTTTCATTGACTGTTTTTAAAACATTAAGTTCCTTTACTCATCTGGAGGGACTTGGTTGTTTTACGTCTTTCTCCTTTTCACTAATTTAAATGATGGCCTGTCATGATGTTTCCTTTTATCTAAAAGCTTTGAATTCTTGAAATGTTTCTATACAGTTGTATGGAAGTGAGGATTTATGGTATTGTTATTGGGTACATAACTGAATGAGGCTGGGTGATTCAGAAATTGGGATAGCTAGGTGGCGCAATGGATTGTTGCCTGACCTGGAGTCAGGAAGACTCATCTTCCTGTGTTCACATTTAGCCTCAGACACTAACTGTGTGACCCTGGGCAAGTCACTTAACCCTGTTTACTTCAGTTTCCTCAGATGTGGTCATGAAGAGTTGGACATGCATAAACAACAATTCAAACATTACTTAGTGCTTTAGTAATACTAACCAGCGGTGAGGAACCTGCGTCCTCGACGCCACGTGTGGCCTTCTACGTCCTCAGGTGCGGCCTTTGGACTGAGTCCAAGTTGTACAGAACAAATCCTCTTATGAAGGGGATTTGTTCTGTGAAGTTTGGATTTAGGCTAAGGGCCACGCTTGAGGACCTAGAGGGCCACATGTGGCCTTGAGGCCACAAGTTCCCCATCCTTGTACTAAATGGATAGTGTATATTTTCTTGTTATTTCGATGAGAACACAAACTTCTTGGTTAGGTCAGCTGAAATTACAATGTATCTGCACTCTGAATAAATTTGTTTTTGTGTGGATGAGAGAGATTTGATAAAGTCCACATTCTTCAATAGAAGTCTTCTAATTCATCTTCTGCAACAGAGTGTGCTAAGTGTGTAGCAGTTATCCTCGTGCTAATCCTCTTGCTGAAGTGCAAGGTGAGTTAATCGCTGCTTCCCCATTTAAACATGGTTGGTACTGGCCGGGTTTCTGAGCTATCCTAAAAGTCATAGCTTAAAACTGGACTAAACCTTTTGGAACACCTATCCTAGTAGTAGTTTTAGGTTCCAGAACAAAGGAATCGTGTGATATAAGCTAGAGAAAGAGGAAAAAGATAATGCCTTTTCTGATACTCCCCACCCTCACCTCCTTGGTTACCCAGTTACTTCATTTGGAAGATCAATATGGGGAAAGCAGTAAAAAAATATTTAGGAAAATAATGTTTTATATTAAAAAAAGAAAGAGACCAAAGGCTCTCTAGAATACTTAGAAGCCTTGTCGTATCCTGAATCCTTCGTGAAGAGAATCAATAGTGGGTGAAGTCCTCCTCCTTCCTCTTGGCAGGGAAGTAATGGGCTGTGGGTGCCAGTGAGGTAGTAATTTTCAAAAGCCATCACTTCATTGGTTTATTTTGCTTAACTGTGTTTCTGTTACAAGAGAGGCCTACGTTGTGAGGAAAAGTTCATTGGAAAGTGATTTTTTTTAATGCATCAAAAAACATGGCTTTATTTTTTTTCTATTTACACCTCTAATAAGTCAGAAGGCCTTGGATGTGGAAGCCCTGAATATGATCACAGAGGAAAGAAATTTACTGTTACAGGAAAGTCTATTGAAAGGAGAGTCATTTCAGAACCAGCTGTCTAAAGGAATGAAAGACCTGTTGGCATTAAATATTAATAGTAACATTTTTAATAATAGCAGAAATACAACCTATATGTCAAATTAATATGGAATGACACAACAGACTGTGGTTTAGAAATGCAATGAAATATAAAGCCATAAGAAATATCAAATATAAAAAATACTAAAAAATATGAGGATATGTGGAATGCTACAAACCAGAAGGTGCTGAACCCAAATAATACTTGTAATTCTGGCTTCAATTATGTAAATAAGAACATTAACAACAATAAAACAATTTGCAGATTTTGCTGCATCCAAAAAAAATGCACATAAAAAATTCAGACTGCGACCCAGAAACTCATTACTGTCTCAAAATTCAATACACCTTAAATCTATAAAATTGAAATTTAATTTCATGAGCATTCTTTTTCCCCTCACCTTTAACTTATAGTTATTTTTATAATAACCTCTATTTGTTTACTTTGTTTTTCCTTAATCACACAACTAAAAGGTACTACCTCATATGTTATTTAAAATTACATGACTTTTTATTTAGGAGATATGTCCTTTTAGAGCTTATGATGGTAGATGGTATAAGGTCTTGGTTTAACCCTAATTTCTGTCAGACAGCTTTCCAGCATTATTAGCAGTTCTTAACAAATCCAGCGTCATAATACCCATGATTTGTGCTCTTGGGTCTATTAAACACTGGGCTACTACTATGTTCATTTGCTTCAAGATCTTATTTAATCTGTTCCTCTGGTTTGTTTGTTTGTTTTTTTAAATCAAGAACCAAATAGTTTGTGATGATGGCTGCTTTGCATTATAGTTTCAGATCTGGTCCTTCATGACCCCTCTTTTTCCAATTATTCCAATTCCAAACTTTTTATGTTCTTCCCTATGAATAGCTCTAATTTTGTGTAGTTTTATGTGAAAAAAAATTCTTGATAGTTTGTTAATAATACTAAATCTGTAAGATGAGGTATTTATTTTTTGATGTGACTTAATTTTGACATGAGCAATGATTGATTCCATTTAAGGAAGAGAGCTTAGCTCAGACATTTCTCACCTGGCTGTCCTACTTTGGGACTTCTGACTTCTCCACCATGCACGAGGAAGCCCATTATTAATATAACCCCAGAATCTTGTCACATCTCATCACCAACCTCTGCCTCTCTGATTGGAGGGTGGGGCTATGAACTCCAAACTTCCATTTAAGGAGAGAACTCAGCTCAGAATATCTCATTTCTCCCAAGAGTACCTGGGCCTTGCACCTCTTTCCTGCTTTTCAGCTTCCTTTTGTGCATTGTTTTCCCCCATTAGATTGTAAGCTCCTTGACAGCAGGAACTGGTTTGGTTTTTTGTTATTTTGTTTTTTGTTTTGTTTTGTTTAATTTGAATCCCTAGCACTTAGCACAGTGCCTGGCACATAGTTGGTGCTTTATCAATGTCTATTGACTGATTTCTGTAAAGAATGCTTAAGCTTTTGGGTGTCTTGGTAGGTTAACTCCCACGTATATTTTGTAGATATTTTTAGTGGACTTTTTTTGTCCTTTTTTAAAAATCAATTTTGATTTTTCAACATCTCTAGGGTTCTTTTTAGTAAACCATAATATCATCTGCAAATCTAGACTTTATCTTATTCTCTAACTATCTGAATTGCTTTTACATTTTTAGCAATATTAAATAATAATGGAAGCATCCTTGCTTTATGTCTTATCTTACTGGTATGACTATGTTTTTACATTGTAAGTAGTACTAGTTATCAACATTATGTAGGTGCTTTTGACCATATTTTAAGGCAGGCTTCTTTTATTCCTGTTAATTTTAGCTTTCCCAGCATAAATGAGTGCTAGGACTTAGCTTTTCCTGACTTTATCATATTTTTTTGTTGATTTTTGTTACTGTTATGATATAGTATACAAAATGTTTTCCTAATATTGAACCATCCTTATATCCCTGCTATAAA